GTACTTTAGCTGCATCTTCTTCGTCCGGGGATAGTTTCCTCTTTAGCGAGGGATTTGTAGTGTCAGGCATAATCTTTTCCTTTACGTTTAAATTAGCTGCGTTTAAGGGCACAAAGGATAGGATAATCCAAGATGGCAGCAGAACGGATATAAAGACGTAGAAGGGAAATAGGATCAGGAATCTCTAAAATGCAAATATTTAAGATATCTAGGATATTCCTGAATCGCTAATCAAGGATCGTCATGAAAATGACGGATATAAAAGCAAGAGGCAAGCCGCCAAGTCGCAAAAACCAAATATACGAGAGAGCGCGCACAACACTTAACTTGAGATTAAGATCTCACCACTTTGTAGGCGACGGCTACCACAACGCTGCGCCCTTTGAGACGCGTTCTCAAGGTGGCGCACTCGACAACGGGGGCGAGGAACAAACTCGCGGACGCACGCTTTTAATAATAATTATAATAATAATAATAATAATTATCACAAATTCGTGTCGAGGCCTCGCATGGCACTGCACCGGTGCACGACGACGACGCAGCCCTATCGCGGCCAGACACGGCAGAACAGCCGGGTGCCCTGTACACACACGAGGACACCGGCCCGAAAATATGTGATCAACCGTCACGGCACGTATCTTATGATCACGTGCACCGTCGCATGTGTAGCACGCTGCTAGGGTGCGGAGAAGCGCAGGTAGAAAACAACGGCACAGCGATGTGCTGGAGGCGCAATTCGAGAACACGCACTGTCGGCACTGTAGATGCACGCGAAAGACGCTCAGAAGGCTTCTCGCGGAACAATGCGGAATGACCGACTCACACGCAACGCACGTGGTGAGCACGTGCACAACACGAATGCGCACGGTTAGATTCCGCGCGGTAATTATCGAGAGCCGTCGCTTACGAGAGCGAGTGCGCGAACACGGATGCACTACGCACCACCGACTGCGCTGCACGCGAGTCATCCCTGGTCCGGCGAACAACTTCGCGGGTTAAGGAAAAACGCGAAGAAACTCGGAGAGAGCGCGTGAAAAAGCGCGAGAGAACAACGCGCGTGTCAGCTCGACAACACCGGCAGACAGGCAAGCGAGTAGCGAGAGAGTAGAGTGAGCTGATCGAGAATCGAGCTTAAGTCGATTTCGCTGCGAGCTCTCGCAGTGCGACCGCGAATACTTGGCGCGGCTGTAGCCGCTGTTTGCGCCTATCGACGCGCGGTGGCGGCTGCAGTAAAGGTAAGTACTGACGTAAGCCCCGCGAAGGCGGAGGCGCTACAGATGAAACATCTGGTCCGCCAACTGTACATAAATACGTTCTCTAAAACAGATATAAAAGGTGAAGCAAAACATATTGCATATTTTATGAATAAAAAGTTTATGAATATATATCAACTATTATAATATATTAATATGTTGCAAATAGCACTAAAGTCACACTAAAAATTCAATGTGTTATTTCAAACACATAAACGTGTAATTTGGCTGAATTTTTTTACATGTTTTTCACCATTTTATGTCACATCATTTAACACGCCTAAGAGAGATGTATAAATTTTAATTTAACATATTTAAACTCCGCGGGTCGGTTGTTTAATAGATCGCCAGGAAATTCGCTCGTCGGAGTCCAGGTTCAATAATTTGTTGACACAAACAATTAACAAAAATAAATAACAAAAGTTTATTAAGATCCTTTGATACAGTAACTGATAATTCGCGTGTATCGGCGTGAGACGGCGCTAGTAATCGGGTCGCGCTCTCGGTCGAACGAGTCTCGCGATTCAGTAGACGGAACGTATAGCGCGAACACGGTGTATCGCGAAAGACGGTGTCGGTGAATAGCGAGACGTTCGCGAATCGCGACGCTAAAAATTCCGTGGCCGCGAGTGCCCAGCAGTAACGGCGGTACGACCGTATCGTAGCACGCGGCGCTATATATTGGGCGACTCGCTTGTCGCTGACGCGATATATGTAAGTATCGACAAAGTTCGATCGAGCGCAGCGAACACACACTGGCACGTGTACTTGCAAGTCGAGAAAGGATACGATCGGTACCGAAAATGCTCGACGGGGTTCACGAACACACGAACTCGTTGGCCGGTCGTTGGAATCAGATAGGAAGGCGAAGTCGGTGTCAAGAACTCTCGACGGAGATAACGAACACACAATCTCCGAGTGCCGGTTTTGCCTGTACAGGTGTGGAAGTAGACGGAAAAGCAGAAACGATACGGTCGAAGTCCTCGCTCTTCGCTCTTAACCCGGGAGTGAAGTCGTACCGGTCATTTCCCCGTACTTTTTCATTTTCCACTTATAACATCTAATCTATTGATATTATCATATTTTCACTTTTACGTAAATTTTCTTTGATGTTTTCTCGTATAACATGGAGAAATGGACGGCATAGACCCGCTTATTTCTATGTAAAATTTGATAGCAATTGGTCTAAAAAACCATAGCGCGCCTATTAACGTTAGTCTTTAGAGGCTTTCTATAATAAGCAATAAGTTTTAAGTCGCAATAAAATTGACCAATTACAGTGGATTATTCTTCTAATAGTCGACTATGATTGGTCAATTTTATTATGACTTAAGATTTATTGCTTATTGTAGAATGGGCTTTATGGAAAGCAGCACATTAATTGTTTATCGTGTGCAAGCTTTCGTCGCGTGGCAAGCGTTGCCGCGTTCTGTGTACAGAAGCCACTATAGTAAAAAAGTAACGATACAAGTAACAATGAATTTCGTTACTCGTTACTAAAGAAAATGTAACGCCGTTACTTTATCGTTACTGATACAAAAAAGTAACGGTGTTACCAAATCGTTATCAAAAAAAAGTAACGAAATAATAACGTCGTTACAAGTAACGCGTTACTTCCCAACCCTGGTATTTCGTACAATTACAAAATTTGTCACGGAAAAACCTTTCTTATTGAAATCAGAATGAGAAAATAAGTGCGATACATTTATAACTATGGTAAAATATATTAATCGATATGGAGTGGAAAATAATTACAATTCAGATCAGAGTGGATCCCAGTTAGAACTTTACGCCGGTCTTTACTTTAGCAAATAAAGGTGCAAAAACAATAGAATCTGTAGTACATTCTGTATTAGTAACTACGCATAGTTACGCAATACAGCCGATTATTTCCGCTGTTTATGGCAGACTATAGTCGCCTCTTTGGATCGTATTAACGGTTCATTGGTAAGCACACATATACGTGTTCGCTGTATACATCCGCCAATTTTAAGTGGATTTGCATGAAACTTGCTACCCTGATGTTTTTTGGATCGTTGATTAAGAATCCGAGATAAAATTTGAGAAATTCAAAATGACGGATCCAATATGGCGACTTCAAGTGACTAACAATGATATTCTATTACAGATACGGATGAAACTCAGTATGATACTGAGTATGATTCCATGGATACTCTATTCCCTAACAACACAAATAAACGTTCAGCAAACACCCAGAGTATGTCCTGAGAACGTCCTGGGGATGTTTCTAGGTCCTCAGGAAATCTGTGGGACGTTCCCAAGAGATTTTGTGCTCTATGGGTTATTAGCTAGTAAAATATTATAAATTTTATATTATAAATTATAAAATAAAACAATATAAAAATATATTCAGAATTGACTTAAGAGAAAATTTGATTCTGAAAATATAATGAACGATATAAAGGGTATTAGTTTTGGGTGCATAGGATAAAAGTACCGGTAACGGGATAAATTTGACCTAAAATTCGTAATCAACTACCCAAAAAACCCCTTATTAGATAAGCTTTCATATGAAATGCGGAATTTTTTGTTTTCACCAGTTTTGGCACGAAACATTGGTTCCGAGTTCAGTAGTGATTCTCCCCAAGGGGGAAGGGGCCGCGCGGCGTGGGGTCCCGCTCAGCGCGGCTATGCGACGGAAACGGCCGGAGGGAGCATATCCCTCCACCGCACCTCCATGGAGCGGATGGGGGGGGGGGTCGTTGGTGTCGTCAAGTATGGCGGCACCTACCCTCCGGCCCGAGAACGGACGGCGAGAGCCTCTGGCAGCTGGGGGCGCCCCGAAAGGATGCGAGAAGCTTCCCGGGGCGCCCTCGTTACGGCTGCCGAGGAAGGGATCCGGCAGGGGTTTTAGTGGGTAGGCCCCCCCCCGGCAATTAGCTCCGGGGGGAGAGAGTCCCACACTACCTCCCGGGGGGTCGTCAACCCCCGGAGGGTGTGCGTAATGCATTTCCCCTGCCTTAACAAAAAAAAAAAAAAAAAAAA